TCACGGAATTCAATGGCAAGTATGAAATCAACCGAGAGAGGCGGGGGGGCTTACCGGAGAAGAGTAACTTGTCAAGGCTCTCGTTGGCTACATACTCGTAAACAAGTAATTTGTCTTCCGCGTGAGCGCAATAGCCGTAGAGATTAACCACATTCTTATGCTGTAATTGAGAAAGCAGCTTCGCCTCGTTCGTAAACTCCTTCCCGCCCTGCCGCGACCCTCTTCCGAGCCTCTTCACCGCCACCAATCGCCCATCCCCCAGCTGCCCCTACACCCCAATCAGATATTTCATTAAACATTCGAAGTGCAAGAGACCAGAACGATTTCTCTCGCTGTTCTATCACAGTGATTGATCAGAATGGAGAGAGGGTATAACTAAACTAGGTTACCTTGTATACAGGGCCGAAACCCCCTTCGCCGAGCTTGTTCTTGGGGCTGAAATTGGAGGTTGCGGCTGCTAGGGTTTCGTAGCGGAAGGCCTTTTGCTCTCTCGCAGCGATCGCCTTTAGGTCCTTCTTATTCAATTCTGCGACAACGAAACTGATTCAGATCTGAATCATGTAAAGATTCAGGGTTTGATCAAAAGAGGGAAGGGGACCTCCATTTGGACGGCGGGCAAAGGGCTTCAGGAGATTCTCAAAAAATTTCGTTAGCTTCTTCATGAGACGAGAGGGGGGATTGGAAAAGAGGGAGGAGGAGGATAGAAAAGGCCGCCGGAGAAGACTGATAGGGGGGACCGGTCCAGCGAAGAGACTTCTGTAACTTTCTCCGGGGTTGGGAAGGTTTTTTTTCTGTGTTTCTTATTGGCTTTCTCGTTTGTGGAAGTATACATTTCTGGGTATATATACGATAGTGATGGGACTCGTTCGCGACGTTCATGTGGGGACGGGGTGACGGCGAGGGATTCATATTGATGAGGTGGGATTGCGCAAGCAAAATTGCCTCCGAATTTTATTTTAAGAGGATTCACATTATCACATACCAAAACTTAAATACCATAAATGCCACTAACTTGCATGTGGCATCTAAAAAATTCTATTTATTTATACAACATTAAAATTTTCAAATAATATCTAAAATATCACCTAATTTGTGGTCTATTTTGGGCAGCTGCAACTTATTAAATAAAAGAGAAGTAGCTGATTGTGAAGAAGTGTGATTGCTATATAATCTGTTGTGTTACAGTTATTTTTGAAAAAAAATATATTATACAGTTTCAAGAATAATTCAAACAAAATAATAAAATAAATTTCAGCTTTTAAAAAAAAATTGAAAATTTAGTATTCTACTTCGTCAAAAATAATATGTTACTTGAAACATAATAACACAATAATAAAAATTATAGTAATACTAAGTAATGTTATTATGACTTTGTCCATCATGTCGAAATGATCAATTCATATGGAGATGTTTTTTTTCCAAAGTTTCTCTTTAAACATGAGCACTGACAGAAATTGATTTCTCATTAGTTTCAGTCCATCTAAAAATATTATAGCTAGCATTTCATCTTGAGGTATACTTGAAACATTGCATGTCGCAATTGCAATACAAAACTCTAAAACTCTATTTGTTTGATGAACTGTTTATTTCTTACAGCTAGCCCTAGGTTAAGAGTCTTATGAGTCTTCATACACCTTACGAAGTCGAGTAATTTTTTGTGGTGAACCTTAGGCCAAATCCCCATGGGTTGGAGTCCCTTTCTCCCATTACTTTGGTTTCCCCACCTTTCCTTAGAGAAGTTTGGATGTTTAGGTTTTATAAAGTGAGAAAAGCTTTGTAGCTAGCTCACTTTGCAAAGTTCTAAGAAGTTGTGAAATGAAAAAAACTTTGTAGCTAGCCCATTTCACAACGTCGTGCGGAATTTTTCCCTTGGGAGCCGTGGAAGAAACTCCCCACATGCCTCACCAATGCAGGATATGACTATGTCGTGAATCTAAGAGCATCAACCCTAGGTTACTATGCGAGGTCGTTAGGCTGAGTTCGACGTGTTGTTGAGTGTTTCTGGGTTGAATTGCATATGCATGTTTGTTTCTGCATTTTTGCACATGGTTCATGTCGCATATTGTAAGCATGACTGTGTGAGCACTTCAGGTTAATCAGTTGTCACGACACGATTGTCTGATCTTTTGGGTTCGATCTATTGTCCCGGGCTGATCACCCTATCGTTGGGGTTTGATCGACCGCTACATGTTGATCACCTGTCTTGGGTTAGATCGGTCATCCTAGGTTGATCACCTTATCTCTTGGGTTTGATCGACCGCTACATGTCGATCCCCTTTCTTAGGTTTGATCGGTCGTCCCGGGCCAATCGCCCGATCTTTTGGGTTAGGTCAATCGTCCTGAGCCGATCACCCATCTTTTGGGTCTGATCGATTGCCATGAATTGATCTGCTCGCTTCTTCGGCCTGACCGACCACCACGACTCGGTCGACCAACCACTTGCATGTTTGTTTGCTTTTGCATCATATTGCATTTGTGTGTGATTGCATGACGTTTCATGGTTGTTGGGGCAAGGTGAATTCTTTCTGGTGGTGTCTTATACCTCAGACGACCGAACGTAACATTTCTGGTGTCATCTATCTTGCATGAAATCTTGCATGGTCATCATCACATGCTTGGTGCACTCCTAGTTTCCCTTCACACACTTGTCTGTCGGGCCACTGCCTTCATGGCGTGCCCATCTCCGGGTCACTATCTTTTCGGCATACCTATCTATCGGGTCACTGCCTCCATGACATGCCCATTTTTGGGTCAATGCCTCCTTGATATACCCATCTGTCGATTTGTAGCCTTCACGACATGTCAATTCTCGAGTCACTGGCTCATCAGTATATCTGTTTGTCAAACCGTTATCTTCACAGTATGCTCATTCCTTGGTCATTGGCTCTTTGGCATACCCATATTTTGGGCCGCTAACTTTAGGGCATGTCTATTCTTCAAGTCACTACCTCCTCGACATACACATTTGTCGAGTCGTTGTCATCATGTCATGTCTACCCTTTCAGGTCACTGTATCCTCGACATACCCATCTGTCAAACCACTACATTTACGACATGCCCACCATTTCTTGGGATGATGTCATCATGACATACCCATATCAGGCCACTGCTTTCACGACATGCCCATCCCCAGGTCATTGCCTCCTCGACATACCCATCTGCGGGTCGCTCCATCCACAGTATGCCCATTTATGGGTCAATGCCTCGGTATACTCTTATGTTGAGTCACAGCCTTCACGACAAGCCAATTCCCAGGTCACTGACTCTTCTACATACCTATTTGCCGAACCGTTGCTTTCACGGTATGTCCATTCATGGGTCACTACTTCCTCGACATACTCATATTTTGAGCTGCCATCTTCGGGACATGCCCATCATTCGGATCACTACCTCCTCGGCATACCCATCTGTCGGGCCGCGACCTTCACGACATGCACACCCTTTTTAGGTCACTGCCTCCTCAACATGTCTATCTGTCAAACTACTACATTCACGACTTGTCCACCATTTTGGGTCACTGCCTCCTCAGCATACCCACCTATTGAACCGCTACCTTCATGGCATGCCCATAGGGGTCACTGTCTTCTCGACATGCCCATTTGTTGGACCACTGCCTTCATGGCATGCCCATCCTCCGGTCACTACCTATATGACACACCCATCCGTCGAGTCATTGCCTTCACGGCAAGCCCATCCTTGGGTCACTACCTCCTCAACATACCCATCTTTTGAGTCGTTGCCTTCATGGCATGCCCATCCTTTCTAAGAAACTACATCCATGACACACTCACTCTCACCACCTTTGGTGCACTGTGTTATTTTTGTTACATATCTTGCATGTTTGCATGTGTTCTTGGTGAGTTCCTCTCCGGTAAGGTGTGAATCCTTCTTATGAGTATCATTTTACTCGGTGCAAACTCATTTGTAGTTGGTGTTTGATTGTTGCATGATGTCTCATGTCCCCGAGCAGGCATAATTCCTTATCATAGGTAGCATGTCCTTATCGGTGCATCTCATTCGTTTGTGTCACTGTTGCGTTTAGCATCCTTGCATCCATTTGCTTGATGTGTACTTAGCCTTCTTGGGCGCCCTTTGTGGTTATTTCGTATTTCGGTTGAACAATCATAATGTGTTCTTCTTGCATGTTTGTAATCTTACTCATAAGCCTTGATGGCTTGTCTTGCTCATTAGGAGAGTGACCTCATGTCAGTCATGATGCCTTAACGAGCATTGCTTGTTGGGTTGATCCCGGTGAGCAATGCGAGTTAAGTCATCTAATGTGCATCATATGCATCACGGACCGCATTGTAGGTCTGCTATTTTAAAAGTTTAAAATGGATATTTTTACTGTTATCGTATTATCCGTCTGTTTTTAAAATTATATAAGTTAGGTCATATGTGAGACCACTTATTTTAAATTTCACCCTTCTTATGCGACGCACTTTAGATCCCTTGAATCATTAGGACGAGGTCAGTATGGTGACCCCGTCAAAGTCATACGATAGCTGAATACTTTACCCTATGCACTTAGATACTATGTTAAAAGACTTTTCGTTAGATGATGTGTTAAGCTAAAATCTAGAGTGTTAGGTAATCTTTTGGATGTCTGACTATTATTCTTTATTGGATTGGTTGCTCTAAGACATTTTTCCTGTTTCTTAATTCTGCATTTCATATTCATGTACAAAATTAGGACTGAGCATGTATATGTGAAGTATGATTGTCTTTTCTTTTTCTTGTATATGTTACCGATCCAGCAACACATGACATTATATATATATATATATATATATATTTGGCTTGTTTCCTGCCTTAATGCATCCCTCGATGGTAGGTGACAAGGGGGGAATATCACACAGGGGTAGGTAAGCAATAGTGTCCAAGAACTCTAGTTCCCCTTCATTGGAGGCTGATACACTGAAAATATATGCATTTTTAGACCCATATTTTATATCTATTTGTTGTGATATTGCACTTTAATGGAAGATATTTTGATATTTTCTTGCAGGTTGTTGATTTTTAGGGCTTAAAGCAAAAAAGATAAAATTTGGAGTCAAAATGACGTTTTTAAGGAAATACTCAGCGTCGGCAGCGCCAAGGTCAGGGCGCCCCAGGGGCGAGGGCCGGGGGCGCAAAACAACCGAAAGCTGGAGGATTTTTACTCAATGCCAACGACGCCATACTAGCACTGACGGCGCCAAAGGCGGTTCATACCCCATTTCTAGAAGGTTTAATGTATTTGAACAATTTTTGAAGAGTTTTTGGAGGCATCTTTTGGAGGCACCTCTTGGAGAACTGACCTTGGGCTTTATTTGGGGCCAAATTTCATCAGAAAAGGGGTTCCTCGAGGTTCATTTTTTCCCTCTACAACTTTTCACCACGCTACATTTCCATAATCCATCTTCATTCCACCACATATTGGAGTCAATTAGTAATTTTGTTTTCATTGTTTAGAGTTTTTGTGTTGAGATTTAGTGTGAAACTTTCTGTAAGAGTGTTGGAGAAGGAGAAAAGTGAGAGAGTTCTTCTTCTTGCATTTCTAAGGAAATGCTACAAAGGATTAGCTTTGAGATAGAGTTTCAGATAAGTTTGTTTGTTTATTTAGTGTTGTATGAACTTTCTTTTATATATAAAATTTGTGTTTTATCGTATCTTTCTCATGAAGTATGAGTAGTTTCATCTATTTTTCTCCCTACTCTGAGATTTGGAGAAATGAAGAGATAATATGAATGTGCCATAATTAAAATATAAAATAAATTGTGATGATTTTTCAACTTCAAACTTAATTTACTTTTCAATTTG